CGACGATGCAAATTTACGTGGCTGCAAATGAGTTTCGATTCTTCGCCGTTACGTTTAACGCAGATTAGTACACTGATTAGCACACTGACGAAAATGTCTAATACTGAATTTTATTAAATAAAAAATTATAAGAAATAAATATACTTCCCAGGTCAAATGAATAATGAGCTATATTTGTTATTACTATTCAATAAATTTATGACAATCAATAAAATTAACTCGGAACGTTTCGACTTTACAAAGTCATCCTCAGCCGCATAAAAAACCCCAATGTAATTAATACGCTTACATATCACAGACGCAAAAAACAAATCAAAATTATAACAATTGCAAATTCTCTAATATATAAATTACATCCTAACAGTCGCAAAATTTTGTGAAACGTTATAATCGCTCCAATGTTTGATGGTAGTAGTCAATTTACTTGAACGATGAAAAAACCTGTTATAATCCATTCTTCGTTTTTAGGCGAGAAAGATTAATCCAAATGAGATTTCCAGTCCATTAGTCAAAATTAAAATACTTTATTTATTTGACCTGGGAAGTATATTTATTTTTTATAATTTTTAATTTTATATGAGCTGAGAATATTTATTAATTTTTATTAAATAAATATTTACTAAATTAATGGTAATATTTTTGTACTAAACAAACGCATTTAGTAAATATATTTAGTCTCACAATCAGTATACTATTCCAAATATTTATAATATTAAAATTTAGTACATCTAAGTACATAGATTCACAACTGTCCCAAAATCGCACACGTTTATGTACTAATAACGCGTATCCAGCTGCGGAAACTCGTAGATCGACTGTCCGACTTCGGTTCAAGTTTGCCATCTCGAAGTCAATGCGGCCACCTCCCTTACGTTTATAATGCAAATATGAATCTATTATCTCTCGGTGATCTCTCTCTCTTAGTATTCGCTACAGATCGCAGAAACAATAGTGATGGCATTTAAAACGGAACCTCGGCGTTCTTTTCGCACGTAATGGATTCGAAAGAATCGTTTAATTAAATAATACAGTTTAGAGCCAGACAATTGCACGCAACGCGCGCGTCGTCGTCGTCTCCCCCTGTGTGTCGAGCATTTTGTACGCGATCGAAATAACTATAACTAAATATTAATCCATAATTAACTGCCAGTCATTGCTCAATCGTCAAGTCACCGATCTGAGTCATCGCAATCGCAGGGATTACAAGGTCCTCGGCGATACACGCATTGCACTCCAGGGGTCAAGCGCGACGTCACCGCAATCCGTAATCATTTCCACGATTTTGCATTGAGACGCGCCAAAACAAAAAGGTTGAAATATATCTTCGTTCGAAACTCGAGTGGAAAATCCAAAACACTGTCGAGTAAGAAATAAAAGACGAACGGTAATTTTTTAAAGAGAGAGAGAGAGAGAGAGAAAGAGTCCGCGACACTTAGGTATTTCCAGTCTACACCAAGTACCGAGAAAAACCGAGACGCGCGCGTACACTTACCGTGGTGGTGTAGCATATCGTTCGCGGAATTATTGACGTTTCGTCGATATAATCAATGTTTGCGAATCGAGCTCGCCCCGGCTCGATCGACCGGATCGGCGCATCAACGATCGACGCCGCGCCGCGCCGCGCCGCATCGTGATATCAATTCTTATCGTACGACAGTCAATTCATTCGCGAGGTAATTTACGCCCCAATATCTGCGACAGGGCAAAAATACGGAAAAGCACTTTTTTTTTCGAGACCCAATCTTTTATTTTCTATAGTTGATTCAATCAGAAATTTAAATCTTTTAAATCGATGAATAGTATAAAGATTTTTTTTTAAAAACGATCGAGAAAGTGGTCAAAAGGAGTAGAAGCATTGTCGCGATCTCGACGACCAGATGAGTTTAGAACTCTCGATTGGGAGCTTTTATTCATCTTCGCGTAAATATTAGGAATATATAAATAAGTTTCCATCGTTTGACAAAAGATGGCGCCACCAGTATGTTATGGATAAAATTGTCTGCTGTAAAACGTCATATCGTAAGGTTGGACATTTAGCAACAACATAACCTTGAAATATTAGCGATTTTGTATCAGCATCATATATCTTTTTTCGTGTGAAAATGTCAAATTTTGAGTCGAATAAGCGTCATTTGCGGGAGCTCCTTTAATTTGAAGAAATTCTGCAGTTGAGGCGCATCGATTGCTTGTAATGGTGAGGCTGCCTTAATTGAGAGAAGTTGCCGTGAGTGGTTTCAAAAGTTTAAGAACGGTGAATTTGACGTCGAAGACAAAGAACGTTATAGTTTCGACGTGAAATCCACCAATTACCAGAAAGATGGGAAAAAGTAGTGGCTAGCGATGGGCAATACTTCGAATAAAACATTAGGTACCGTTCTTTCACAATAAATGCCCAATTTTTGATGAAAAAACGGTGGAAACTTATTTATACACCTAATACGAAAATCAGTCAACGAGTGACACGTATCAAGTGTTATTATAGAATCGCACTGAAAGAAAAGATTGGCTGCTACAACCAATTAAAATGGAGCTCGCGACACGAGGATTCACCAGCGGCTGCGGAAACGCGATTGTCTGTCCGAAAACATTTTTTAAAAACGCTTAAGAACTGTATCCCTAATTAAATCTAACCGAGAATTAAACACGAGCTTTATATTTTACAAAGAGAATAAGTCTCAATTGACCTCAAAACTTACAAAAATATCGTCGTAAACTTGAAGCTTTCATCGGGCTTGCAAGAGTTTCGCGTAAAGCAACTGCAGGAATATCTAATATTTGCGTGCGTGCGTGCATGGGTGCATTCATATGAAATAACGTGACGTGGTACGCGATCCGTGCGACGGCTGAGAGCAACGGATGGGAACCGGGCGGAACCATTTTAATGGAGCTGATTTTCGTCGTCAAAGGAAGTAGTTTGAAGGTTCGCGTCATCGTGGTACCTTCGGTCGCGAAATTTTTGGCATCCGCGACGTACGTGTATTAATTTTCAATCGCAGATATGAATTAAAATATCTCTTTAATCCTTCGTCTGCAATCATATTGGAAGTACAAATTAGTACGGTCCGTTTTCCAAAAAATGACCGCCTCCAAAGACGAGTCATTTTTTCGAAATGGAACTGCCTGAGAGATGGGAAAAAAGTAGTTGCCAACGATGGACAATACTTTGATTAATCTGTTCATTCATTTTGTATTGAAATAAATGCAATTTTGAACACAAAAAACGGACCGAACTAATTTGTACACCTATAATATTTTCATACTTCTCCCATCCAATTCAAAGTTTACTGCTCCAGATTTTCAAAAAATGAGGGAAAATTTTGGGTTACTTTTCAGTATGTCTATATTACTTAAAACATCGATCGCTTATATGGTATATACTAAGAAAGAGACAGATTGCAGACGCAAAGTTAAGGAAAGGTATTGTTTCAAAGGGACAGCTCGCGAAACAAATCTCTCTTCTTCTTTGCTCATTTTGCATCTTTCTCGTCATGCCCGATGCCGAGTCTGACTTGGTCGATTTCGCAAATGCACGGTTGGAAAAAGCGACGTATGTTAAAGGCGAAATTCTCGCAGGTACCCCGCGCGAATGTAATCGTCGTAAGAGGGCACAAGCAAATAAGACTGCGGGCAAACGAGATAAGAAATAGCTGAAATTATACGATACGTTAGAAACGCATGCCGCGGCCGGCAGCGCGCATGCTATTTTCTCAACCTCCTCCTTAGCAGTCCCAAAGGGTCGAAGGGAGAGAGAGAGCGCGCGCTACCTTTTATCCTCTTTGCCTTCGCAGGACGACGTAATGATAGTGAAACATTGAATCTCAAGCGTAAACTGCAATTTAATGGTTTTCCAACACACCAACATCCCGAAGACACGCGCGGGGGTGAGGAAGTAAGAAAATTCAGAAAGGAGGGAAACGACGACGTGCGCACGTCGAGCCGCACTCCGACGAGGGGGTTGAGAGAAACGCATATACGTCCGCGTCGCGTATATATCGCCTCCCCCCCCTACCCCTCGTTTCGAGGGACTCGCGCGGATCGGCGATAGCGATTGGCGATTATGTTAACCAAACACGCGCGGTACACGCCCCTGCAATTTGCCTGCGGGGATCATCTTCCCCTAATCGCCGCGCTAATAACAGGATTACGGGGGTCCTGACCGCGCGGTACGTATACTTATCCCTAATTCGCCGTATCGTTATTAATATATATCGCCCCGACCTCCGATAAGCCCCGCGATGTGTGTACGGACGTGTATGTGAGAGGTCCGTCCACACGCGTCCCAAAATGCGGGCTCGGTCTTCGTTATACCGTTGGAAAATTTCTGTTAAATTTAACACATGTTTCACACGTGTCCCGAACGGTCCACTAAAATTTTTGTAATATTAAGTCAACACGAAATGAATATATGTAAAAAGTAACACGGATATTACGTGAAAAATTATCATAGACAGGATAATATTGACGCAATTTGTAAATTGGTGGAAGTATATTTTTTTACAAGTACAGTTAATATATATTTATGATATGTTAAAAAGAGTTAAATTAACACACGTGACATTCATTCGCCTTATTATAAAAGCTACGTTTTAAGATTCACTATTTTTATGTTATCTTGCTCATAAATTTTGACAGTAGACGGTACTGTGAATATCAATTGCATATAAAATATTTGTATAATAATGCAATCACATTATGTAAATTAACCGTCGAATAAAAATTCTAACTAAATGTCAACAAGGACGCGAGTGGACGTTTCCGACACAAAACTTTTTCCTTTCCTTTTTCTCGTCTCCCCGTTTTCGACGGACGTATTTTATTTTCGACGTGAGAAACCGCGCTCGCGTTCACGTGGGAGTGCGAAGGAACTCGTGTCCAACGAGGGTTACGATCGCCTACAACGAATCCGATCGCTCGCGAGGTACGCATCGAATTTATCACATCGTGCGGATATTCATGAAATAAATATGAGAGGGGTATAGGAGAAAGAAATGGAGACTTACGTGTAGTGCGAATAAGACGGACTGGCTTGATCGATGAGAGCGGCGGTTGACAGGCCTTGCGCGATGGCAGCCGAGGGATCCCTAGCTGGCGAGGAATTCTGCGTCGCCGCTGCCGCCGGTATAGCGTGATGGTAGCGCTGGCACATTTCGGCCAAGTTCCACCCATGGGCATCCATATATTAGCACTGCTTCGCTTTTCTTTGGCGTACCATCCATTTCACACGCGTTGCGATGCACACTCTCTCCTCTCTCTCCCTCTCCTGCTCCGCTTCCTGCGTCCTTTTCTCTCCTCTTCTGTCGCGCGCAATTCACTCGCGCTCTATACGTCTCTACGTGTGAGGTAAAAACTATACACTCGCGACGACGATGACGTGCTACGTCCAGTCGACGGGGACGTCCTCCGTGCGCCGCGCGATCCTCCGATGACTTCGCCTCGCCTCCGGGAGGCACGCGCACCGCCTATTAATCAGGGAAAACAAATCCATTTACTTGGCCGTTAACGACACGCGTATACATATTTAGAGAATGATCGAGAGAAGGCACACCGTTTAAAGAAAGACTCCGACAACCGTTACATGAATTGAAAATGGAGTTACGTCTGTATCGCACTAGCGATTGGCGATTGCAATTGCGTTAACATTTCTCTTGGCTAATTAGAAAAGAACTGCTGGCCAACTCCTTTCTGATTGGTCGAGGGACCCAAACGTAAATGCAGTCGCTAATTGTCAGCCATGATACAGCACGAAAGATTGGAGCGCAACATTGCTATCGTTTCCAATGTTACTGTAATATTGCTGTAATATTACTGGAATGTTGTTGCAATAGTTTGCTTTCCATTTACACACAAGTGAAACCGAGTCTGAAGTGAGCTGAGTATGAAATACTCAGATTAATGACGTCACTACTTGCTTGCTTTGATAAAATTAACCGATTAACAAATAACAGCACAGGTTTATAACCTCACTTTTAAAGTGAGTCTACGAGACTCAATAAAGCACACGGGGTCTCGATCTTGTGCAGTTTGTAGGTAAAAACTCAGTTGAATCTCACTTCTCAGAATGCAAAAGGAACGCGCATTCAACGGAGTTATGACGTCACAAGTGAGAATTATCTGAGAATCGAAGTATAAATGGAAAGCAAGGGTGCGTTCCGAATGAACGTCCGGACGACAAGTTTTCATCGTGCTCGAGACTCCGACGAGAAACGTCTCGCATGCGCAGAACGACATAACGCAATAAATTGCGATGATGAAATATATGTAGAAGTGTGTTGTAGGTTAGATTAGGTTTATATTCCATCAGTATTATATATTTAAATATACATATCAAAAATATATATATTAAAAGTTTTGTATTTTCAGGTACAACTTGTTAGGTACAACCTAACCTAACGCGAAAACATTCCAAAATCGTTCCGTTTCACGAACCAATCTCGGTATGTGACGTCGTACTTCGTCTGGATGAACACTCCGGTATACGGAACGCACCCCAACTATTATTGCTGGAACGGTCTGTGTGACACGGGCATTATACGTTTACCGGCGGGTGAACGGCACGACGGAACAAGTAATTATTGCAAAAATTTTGAAACAGCGAGTAAACGGAAAGAACGGTTTTGCTAAAGTATTTAGTTACATTTAGATCTGAAAATAACCATTTAGTTAGGGACTATTAAAATAATTATGTAGCACGTTCAAATTGGTTGTTAGAAATGTTAAAACTTTTTTACGACATTGCGCTCATCATGCTTGAGTTTCCTATCATAATTATGGCCTAGCAAAATTATTTTTAGATCGGTATCTACTTAACTTTTTTTCAGTAAAGTCATTCTTTCCGTATGTTGTACATGCATCATAATCGTGTGACATAAAACTTCGCTTACGAAAATGAACAGTTATAAGAAATAATAGCAAATTATTCGGCGCGAAAAACATGGATTTTTGGTGAATTAATAAACTCTTGTGAAATTATAGTTCCCGTTTCACTTCGATCACAATGAGATTTTAATAATTCGCGTTACCGCGGCGAATTTATAAAATGTTCTCCAGAGCAAAGTTTACAACTTCGATAACTTTCAAATGTGCGCGTTCCGAATACCTAACGGAACAACTAAATCTCACGTTACATAACCCTTCTCTCGTCTCCCTCACCCCTTGATCTAAATGCAGTTTAAAGCTACGGTTAATGAAAGTGTCCGTTTAATTTCTAACTGCGAGAGCGGGTTAAAGAGGTTCACATAAACGGAGGGCTCGAAACGCCGTGTTGGATAACGATCGGCATCTGGATCGGACGGATACCGATCGACTTCTATTCGTGCCTCAGCGATTGAGCGTTAATAAGCGTCGTGCAAAGGTATCTATGAAATAACTATAATCACATATATACACACACACAAACTCGCACGCGAGTTACTGTCGGGCGAAAACGATCGTCAAATCACGCATTCTTTTCTCGCTCGTGATCGAGGAAATGAACGGCAAGAATTCGGGCGCGGGTCGGAAGATCGACAAAGGATTGTGCAAGGATACGTCGTTCTTGAGGCCCGTGCAAGATGCTTTAGTCGCGAAAAGATGGAAAATTAAGATATACAATCAAGATACACAACTAAAAAAATTGCGTATAACACATCGAGAAAAAGGTATTTAATTTACTTTGAATTTGTGAGATATAATGTTTAATTTTATTGAAATAAATTTTTTTTTAATACAGCAAAGTAAAATATTTATATAAAGAGTCTAAAATTTTTTATTAAATTTATATATTTAAATTTTATATTAAAATTAAAAATATAACGTGCTATTTTAGTAAATTCAGAACAACACTTTTCCTTTAAAATACAAAAAAAAAGAAAAATATTTCCGCTTTTAGCTACAGTTCCTATTAATATCGCTCGAATTGTAAATATAAGTAATTTGAAAACAAGATTCCAATACTCATCAATTTTAATAGACACTGAATATAGAATCATGACATTTGGAAATAAGTGTCATGCTGATAATTTATCGCAATTCTAGCAATATTTTTCATTAGTTCTAACAAAATACTATATACTCTACAATCCTTTTTAAACAGAGTTTAAGCTACTACTTTTACAATTTTGGTATAAAAAAAAAGTTTAGTGTAAACAAAAATTTTTTATTTTTGTAAGAATTTGAAGAGTTATGAAAAGTGCTACTAAAACTGTAATTTTTTTTATTAATAGAACGTTGTACGAGACTAACTTCACAAATCCACATATATTTGGATTATAAAATTAACACGCTATTCTATATTAATATAAAAAAAGTGAGGCAGTTCCAGTAGCATTTTTCGTAGTTCTACATAGTTCTTTCTTATCCTTTTCTTCTTCTTCGTTGTTACGTTAGGCTTCTGGCCTGTGTTACACCTCTCTCATGTGCTTGTGGTGCGCACGCTGGTTATTCAATTGCCACAAGAGCGTATCAAAATATAACCATAGTTTCTTATCGAAATGAAAAAGAGGACAACGATCGACACGCGTCGTATAACGTTTTACGTTAACGAAATCACGGCGGTATTTCTTGGTTAATTGGCTGAAACAACACAGATAGAGATAAATTCCCGAGAAGTTTCACGACATAACTCGTAAATACCCGATAAATAAATACTCAACGCTACCTGGATCTCCGGTGCGCGGCTGTTTTCTAATTTATCGTTCGTGAATTCGATCCGCGAGTGCGACAAACATATAAAGACAATACCACGCACGTAAGTGACCAAGAAAAGTGCACCAAGAAGCGAAAGAGGCACAACTTTGTGGTTTTAATTTCTTCAAGAGGGATTTTAATCGTCGACTACTGGGTTGGGACGCCGTACATTCGAGCCGTTTAAGCGGTCAGACGTTAATCACGCAGGTAACCGGCGCGATATCGTTGTAAAGCGGACCAATCGACAGTAAATTACCGGGCCCGCGCGGTCGGGCCCGCGAACGGTAAAACGCCCGCGATTTCCTTCACGAAGGTGGCAATTAAGCGCGAAACGTTACGCGCGCGAGACGTCTCAACACCGAAACCTATGAGGAACCCGATACCCGCGGGCTCATTACGTTCACGTACCACGCTCGTCGATTGCGATGACCGACGCGCACATTACGGTTTTGCCACGCCTTCCGACAAAACGTAATCCGAGACTCGCTCCCCGAGAAACTATCCCTCGACGAAATGAACAATTCATAAAGGCATATGAGAATCGACCAATCAGTGTCCTCCATTTGTTTTACCCCGGATCGACAATAGAGATTTTAAGCCTTAAGGAATGGACAAATCATAGTCGATTATTCTCCTCGAATTTCGACTGTAATTGATTAATTTCTCACAGCTTAAAACACGTATTGTAGATCCGGGATTAAGCCTATCGCACTTTATTATGAAATGCATAATAAAGCATGACCAATAAGCATCCAGCATAAAGAAGACTCTCATTGGTCCAGCGGTCTTACGTTATGTTTATGCACTCCTGTTATGCATTTCATGTGTTTTTTTCGGGCTTTACACTTCGACTATGCGGAATTACCTGCGAAAGTCCGCACTCTGCGCCGCGCGGACTTAACGTGTATCGCGACTACCACGTAACTTACGAGCACGCGCTCGTAACGACTCGTGAGTTCGCGCGAGCGGCTCGCGTAACAGTGAAATGAGAATGAACAATAACAATAACAAAAATAATCTCTCCGTTCTCGAATACACCCCGTAACGCGAAGCCGCGATAACGACACGGAGCGAGTTGAACGGCACAATGCGCCGACAGGCGGACTATACACGTATACCTGTGCGCGACGAAATCGTAAAGTCGCACGATGCTCGCGTATGCGTGTACATACCTGCGTACATGTACGTGTCACTGACGGAGGTCTCAATCCACGGTACTCACGCACACGCGCGCGTACGCACATCAGAGAGAGAGAGAGAGAGAGAGAGAGAGAGACAAAGGCGAGACGCATAACGCAATAATAATCATAATGCCAGATCGATACAACACGCGATGTTCGCCTCGGCCAGCCGAGGATGCCGATGATATGAAAGCGAGAAGGAATGCGCGCGTCGCGGAGAAAAACGATGGACGACGACACGCTGCATTGAGAAGTCACTAAATTATTAGTTTCTATACTATATAGTCGCCTCGTACCATCCCTCATCTCACCTGCCTCCCGTCTAGCTGTTCTCCCCGCGATACTCGCGTCACTAAATTGCATAGACTCGTATACGCGTATATAGAGGCAGGGCGTATGACGTGCGTAACCGCGACGGACGGCACGTATAATAATAACATATAAATACGTATAACGTAATAAACGCGTGATTATCGCGCGCGGAGAGGCGCACGGATATCTCTCGATAAATCAACGAGAGTATAAATCAATATTACGGTGTTGTGTGTACTTTCTAAGTGTAGTATTTCGCGCGCT